CGATAAAAGATCTAAGGGCCAATGATTTTAGGTTAATAAAAATCTGGTGAATATTAATTAAATCTTCACCAATTGGGAATAATAATTCTTTTTGGAAAAACTATGGGCCGATCCTTGTAAATTATTACTCCAGTACAACGGCGTTTGAGTGCTCTCTCGAAAAAATGAAGAGGGATCTTACCCAAAACAATTTTGTAAAAACGACGTAATGAAATAATTACTGAAGGACTTCTATGTTAATTTTGCATTTTTTCTGGGTCGATTTAACTACTGGAGAAGATTACACACATATTTTTCAAATTTGTTATTGGTTTGTAGCTTCCAAAACTATATTCAACCCGTCATCGGTATTTCATAATACGTTTGTGCTTTATATTTGAAGCATACATGTGGCATGTCAGTAACTGCTAGTAGTCTGTTGTTATTTATGTATTATTGTCATTTTGTTTATTTTCTTTTGTTTCCTATTCTGACATCGGACTCGGACTTCTCTTAAACTGAGTTTTACTGTGCGTACTGTTGTACGTTTGTTTTTCTACATTGGCTAGAGGTATAGGGGGAGGGTTGAGATCTCAAAAAACATGTTTAACCCCGCCGCATTTTTGCGCCTGTCCCAAGTCAGGAGCCTCTGGCCTTTGTTAGTCTTGTATCATTTTTAATTTTAGTTTCTTGTGTATAATTTGGAGTTAAGTATGACGTCCATTATCACTGAACTAGTATACATATTTGTTTAGGGGCCAGCTGAAGGACGCCTCCGGGTGCGGGAGTTTCTCGCTTCATTGAAGACCCATTGGTGGCCTTCGGCTGTTGTCTGCTCTATGGTCGGGTTGTTGTCTCTTTGACACATTCCCCATTTCCATTCTCAATTTTATATAAGTAAGTGTGGGATTATTAACACAAAATAACTCCTTTTTGCATTTATCACATTAAAAATGACGAAGAACTGACACCTCAAGTATGCATTATTTGTGTTGTAATGTCAGTTTTGGTAAATTTTTCAATAATTCTTAACAGTTTTTAACATGATTTACTTTGGCCTCCACCCCTGATCCAGAAGTTTTTGTGTCTAGGGATTCAATATCATCATTTGCAACTTTTTGCTATAGAAAATTTCAGGTCCTTGGTTGCGGCCATGGGTTTCCTCAAGCTTTTAGGTCCGAAAAATGCACAACATCATCGTTATTTGACAATATCCCCTAAAGTGCTAACTTTGAAGCCTAATGTGTACTTTAATGAAGAGATTTGTTATACCTAGAACTATGGCTTTTCAAATAGACCCATTTAAGAACCCATTTATGGCAATTTTTATGATAAAGTTGAAATTCAAGGCCATGTCCTTTTACACTAAGAATTAAAGCAGTTATTAGCTAGAAGGTATATGGGGAGGGTTGAGATCTCACAAAACATGTTTAACCCCATCGCATTTATGCGCCTGTCTCAAGTCAGGAGCCTTTGGCCTTTGTTAGTCTTGTATGTTTTTTTAATTTTAGTTCATTTATATGTTTCGGAGTTTAGTGTGACTAGATATAGGAAGATGTGGTATGAGTGCCAATGAGACAACTCTCCATCCAAGTTACAATTTATAAAAGTAAACCATTATAGGTCAAGGTACGGACTTCAACACAGAGCATTGCCTCACACCGAACAGCAAGCTATAAAGGGCCCCAAAAAATTACTAGTGTAAAACCATTCAAACGGAAAAACGTCCATTTTCACTGAACTAGTACACACTTTTGTTTAGGGGCCAGCTGAAGCCCACCTCCGGGTTCGGGATTTTCTCGCTGTGTTGAAGACCTATTGGTGGCCTTCGGCTGTTTTCTGCTCTTTGGTTGAATTGTTGTCTCTTTGACACATTCCCCATTTCCATTCTCAATTTTATTACCCAAAGAGTGTATTTGGTATAAAATATAACTACATTGAAATCTTGTTCGTAAGACTTTTGTTCAAAATGGGGTCTATTGGACTTTCAAGATGGTTTGAATACTCATTCTGTTAGGAAGGTTAAAGATTTTCAATTGTAATGCTAAGTTTCTGAACCTTATATGACTGTACTTTATAAAATAAGGAGATGTAGTATGATTAACAATTATAGGAAACCGTACGACCTTCAACAATGAGTAAAACCATACGGAATAGTCAACCATCTAATTTGTTTTCTATATAATAACATACCGAGCTAGTAAAGTTTCAAACGTAACCTTTTCTGTTTCAATCACGTCCGATCAGGTAAATTACACTGAGTAATACATGTAACAGAATAATTGCAATATGTACTTTTAACCTTTGAGATATATGCTACATGCGTTTTCGGGTTTCCTTATGTCTTACATTTTTTTCATTTTAAGTTTAATGGTAGCAATGCAGAAATAGAATAAGTACGAAATAGATTTACTCAAACAAAATATCTATAGGTAACACGAAAGTTTTCTGTTAAAAGCACGAGATAAGCCATTAATCTTTTGAAATAAAGATTATTGTTACTATTATAATTAAAAAAAGCATACATGTACAAATGTTTTAGTTATAGTCTCGAGGAGACCATCAACCTCAACAAACTATATATGTTTTATGTATTTGTTATCTCTGTTCAGGTAAATCATGTTAATCATAAATCAAACAGAAGTTACTATTTCAGCACCAAATTCACAAATTGAAAGCCGTGATTGTTGTCTCATTAACATTTACCCCACAACTTCTACTATTTATATATTAATTCCTATCAGAAAACTGCAACTCAAGATTTCAACCAATTTATATTTATAATGGAGGAACAAAAACAATCACGTCTTTAATATAAACAGTAGAGGATCATTTCATGTAAATTTGTATTGAAGGTAACTTGCTTTCAATTATATATGACAGACAGATTTATCTCTTCTATGAATGTTGTCATTTAATTGATACTTGATCGGCATCAATATACATGTACGAGCCATCATAACGAGTAGGTAAATCCGCATCAATATACATGTACGAGCCATCATAACGAGTAGGTAAATCCGCATCAATATACATGTACGAGCCATCATAACGAGTAGGTAAATCCGCATCAATATACATGTACGAACCATCATAACGAGTAGGTAAATCCGCATCAATATACATGTACGAGCCATCATAACGAGTAAGTAAATCCGCATCATTATACAGGTACGAGCCATCATAACGAGTAAGTAAATCCGCATCAATATACATGTACGAACCATCATAACGAGTAGGTAAATCCGCATCAATATACATGTACGAGCCATCATAACGAGTAAGTAATTCCTTACGGAATGTCATTTTCAGATTTCATAAATTTATAGTTATATAATGTAACAGTAGATGAATAATGATCTAAATCTTAATGTTAGTCAGATAAATAGAGGGGTCAAAAATACAAGTTTTAACATTACAATAAGTTATACAAAAATATAGTTGAAAAATGTTCACCTGTTCGTTTTATACTCAAGATTTGATAACAATGAGAAATTGAGCATTGCATCCAAAACATCATATTGTTACCTGTACCTGTGATGAAAATACATTAGATGTGAGAAATATTTGAACACTTTAAATCTGTACATTTTGAAATGAAAAATGAAGATTTTGAGCGATATTTACAAAATTCTGTACAATCACTTTAATGGTTTATGGTGCGTTGAATGCAATATTATTTTCTATATATCAGAATATGATACGAATGATTACGTATGTTGCATGTACAACTATTCTCTGCAGCATATTCTGAAATCGATGCAATGATAAATTGTGCGGGGTAATTCTTAGCCAACTATCTAGAATACCAAATCAATTCAAAATTTTAGTGGTCTGATAGTATCATATACCTTGAATTATAACAGGCTTTTATTATTTGTCACACAATTATGTAAGGGCAATACTTCTAGCTCATAGTAGAATATTGACTTCTTAAATTTTGTTTTTCATTTTTGTAGTTCGACGAGTTATGTCCCATCATAATGGTTAAAAAAAACTGAATGCCTCGTGAAAACTTAACCCAAAATGAGCTATACCATAAAGATAAATAAGTATAGTACCAAATTAGAAAATTCGACTGCGTGTTTCTCAAAATGAGTAAGTTATTTTATTATATCCTTAAATATTTTCAGCAATAGGGCGAACAAATAGGAGTGATCGCATCGATGCAAATATCAACCAAACACCAATTAATGTGAAAATGAATACATGCATTCTATACATGAACTGTTACTGATACTAATTCATGATATATTCTATTCAGAGAGAATAAACTGAAATGAATTTCGAAAAGTCCAAATGATTTACTATAATTGACAGAAATGACAAAAAAAGAAAACCTACTTTTAAAGACAAATTTAAAAAACCAGACTGTTTGCCCATATCCTATTATGATCTACTTCCGTTTTACTTAATTTTCAAAAAAAGCATTGATATACTATATACAAAATCAAATTTGACTCTTGATTGTGGTGTTTCTAGTTTTAAATCCGACAAGTACAACCAAGCGATTGAAAATAACTGGAAATTTCATTTTGTTTAGACTAAGTTTCCATCACGAATGAATTTACACAGAAATATAATTGTTATTGGAAACTATTATGTGTTTACACAACTGTTTCCATATCATTTATACTTGTATATGTTTCAGTAAATTTTATTTGGTTCATTTTCTACCCGATTAATTTAAAGACATACTTGATAAAAGAAATTAAGGGATGAAAAGTATTTCTATTGTAGAAGTATTATTGATCGGTTTCCCCAAGTGATGTCTTATGCAGCTTGATCAATGCGGCACGCCTCTGTGAAGTGTGTCTCCAATGAGAAAACCGTTATTCCTAGAATATATGATTTCAGAATTATATTATAATTTAATGAACCCAAGCATAAATAAATGTCCCTGGTGTTTGTAAATTTCTCACTTTATAAACTTCATGAATACCCATTTATTCTAATGAAAATAGATCAAACGGGACATCATTAATTTGTTAAAACATAAGTTTTGGTCGGTACCATTTCCATCACCTGCTCTTGTGCTTGTGGTCTTATAAAATTATTAAGTCCAACGAAATCAAACGGTACAGTCGCATATCGCCAAAATCTACAGATATGATGGAATATTCGTATTTAGGACAAAACACTTTCGATGCTGCAAACTGTACTCTACCGGGAATGGAAAACCCTTTAGCAAGTTGCAGTATCCCTTGTAGTTATGGGGATAGTAATCCCTTCGGTCAAATGGCTGCACAAGGATATCGTTATAATGGGGTGCGGACATTCCCACCAAATCCAGCTATGTCGTCTGCAAACTGCAGTATGGTTCCTCGTCCACGAGAACAACCACAGGCTCCTGTTTTCCCTTCTGGTAAGTAAAGTGAATTTACACACTTTATATGGCGTTGCTTGTCGGCGATGAAATAAGATTTGGGGAAAGAAAATTGTTTTAAGTTCACCTAATTTTGTTAACGGTGTCTACTTAGCCGTAATGATGGGAAGTAAATTGGATTACTCAATGTAGAAATACACATTTTACATAATTTTCGCTTTAGCTGAAAATTTTCTATTTATTTATGGCACTAAATTGATATAAACAGCAAAATTATAGTAAATTGAATCAGGGGTGGTAGTTTCAAAAGCGATTTAAGCAACTGACTTAGTTATGTTTCAAGGCAACTAGACGGGTAATTCACTTCTGGCCGCTTGAGAAGTTGCGGAAATAAGATTTGCTTCGCCGCAGTTTACGTTTTGGCATCGCTAATCACATTTGCTATTCAGTTTTATTGAAAATATTAAATAACCTTTCCAATACGATATTCGTCAACATTCATTTATACCTTTTGTTAAGTCTCTGTGGAAGAAATGTGATACATTGAAGAAGAAAGTTTCTCGCATTTACCATATTGGACTGTTTTATTGGATTTGAAATAACATAAATCAAAGAAGATACTTGAACTTGTCAAAAGATAACTTAAAGATTATTGAGAAATCATCACACATTTAAGTTCCTCATAATTGCAAAATGTAATAATAGGTGATAATTTAACTTACCTTTCACAAATTACTTAGTTTGCATATTCAATTAACTTAATTAGTACGGAAATCTTAATTTAATGAATATTTGATTTTTTTTTAAAATAACTTTATATATTATTCAATATTCAAATTTGAGTACGTACATATTGTCGGAAAACATTATATTTCTATCAATTTTATTCGATTGTGATTGAATTTTCTTGCTTTCAGCGTGATAAAATAATGAACATATACGCACTCACATATATATTTATTATTCAAAATTAAAAGCAAGTAAATGATATTATAAGTTGAATCTTGTACATGTATAAACTGCAATATGTACAAAATACATATTGCGGAATTTGTGTTAATAATTCAAGTTATATAATAATATAAAATCTATAATTAATTTTCAATAACAATAATAGCATAAAGATATTCTAATCATTGTTATTATATTTTTTTTTGTATTTCTATTTTTCTATTTTACACTTAACTATTTGATTTTTAATACTTTATACAAGTTACGTGGGTTGGAAACATGAACCGTTGATAGAATCACGAAACGAAAATGTAAAAATACATTATTTAAGTTTCTTAAGTGGTGTCTATAGATATTACATTATTTTATTATAAAAAATGCAAAAACATATAACAGAACTTTTTATTTACAATATGATATTGAAAATATTAAAAACATTTTAGGATTTAGACATAAACGACGAAAGCAATTGTTCGTTTATAAATACAATTTTTGAGAAAATATTTTTTTTGTAATATTCTGATTTTTTTTCTTTCTCCGAAGATGATAGTGATTTTTGTTTTATTAATTTTATTATTAATCATTATTAAATGAACTGAACAATAAGACAGATAAAACGAGAAAAGAACTATGTACATTTTATGCAATTTCGAAATTTTGAAATATCTTAGTCCTAATTTAGTCGGACAAATAGACTATTTGTTGTAATATTCAAAAATAACTCAAATTCAAGATTTCTTCTTTTCAACTTCATTTAAGAGAGTTTGTAGCTTAGTGTTTCTAAAGTTAGTTTAGGTTTTCTTCTCTTGCTAATTTTAATGCATATATTTTCATAGTTATAAAATATTAGCCTTTTAGGTATTTACACGATAGAGATGCAAGAGATTAGCTTTTGATTTTTTTACTGAAGACATTATGACACTTAACTTCATAAAAAAATAAATATTCGTACTGTTAAAATAGAAGTGATAGTAGTAAATGTTTTACTTATTCTTTTGTAAAAAGCCATAATAATATATTTTTGTGTCGTTTCTTAAAATACCAATATGCAATTAATATTAAATTTTCTTATGATTATCGTCATTGTTTATATTGCTTGTATTGCTGTTTGTGTAATTGTGGTGCTTTTTTTTTTATCTTACAATATAATATTATTTTATTCATTTTGTCATTTACTTATACGTCAACATTCAGGACAGCGGTTATGATCTTATAGGTATATAGTTTTAAAAATTGCTTTAATGCACAATGTCGTAAATCAATCCTACGATTGTCCTAAATTCTATCCTAAGACATGTTTAAGGACAGCTAATAGGACAGTTTCGATATCCCCGTCCCAACAATTTTACAGCAGACTAATAGAATTATTTAGAAAATATAAACTTTTTGTAACATTTTAAAAAAATAAGATGAAACACGAGATAGTATTATTAAATAAAAAAAAAGTTGGGACTATAATAAGATGCATGAATATTGTAGATAGTATTTCAATTGACGGTGCATCTAAGCAATTTTATTGTATGGTTCATGGTCAAGTTATTTCGTATAAATAAAAAAAAATCACAAGTTATCGAATCATTTGTCCAGATTTAAAATCGTGATATGTTACGATTTCAACAATAAAATATTGCTTTAATTTTTTTTTCAAGATTTCAAAAATATGTTCCTTAAGAGTCCAATGAACATCTACGTATCTATTTCTTTTTATAGAAACAAGTAAAAATATATATTGGAAACCTTTTGTTATTACAAAACTCTATGAAAAGGTGATCTTATTTATATCAATTTATGACCATCAGAAATTAATCCAAAGTTTTTCGTTGTATGGTCCTATTGGCAATCTTACCACTTTTCCTTATTTTTATATTCACGATGGTTCGAATGTGTCAGCGTTCTTTAATAAGCGCATAAATAAAAAACAATATTCAGTTAGAAATATAACAATCAAAATAAGAGATTAACAAATGAAAAAATAAACAATAAATAAATTAACGATGAAATTTTTTTTTTTTAAATTAAGAAAGACAATAAGAAATTATATATTAGTATCAAAATACTTTTGATATTTTTTTTAAATTAAGAAAGACAATAAGAAATTATATATTTGTATCAAAATACTTTTGATATTTCAGAATCTGTAGAATTTCTATTAATCAAACGGTGTTTAAAAAGAAAGACATATTTTTGTTTAAATAATATTATAATACATTAAATCTTTAAACAATCATAATAATTGTAACTTGTAAAACATTTTATTTCCTTGTCTTAAAACCCACAAGGATCAACAAAAACAAAGAAAATTTATCAAAAGTTTACAAATCGGTCATATTCTTTAAGACTCGCTACAAAATAAAAAAAATAACAATTTATAAAGTAGGTACATCGGAGGCACTTTCATGGATTTACCTTCATCAGAAACGCTGAAATTATATGACCAAATTTATTTTTGGGGTCCAAATGTGTAATTTTTTACATGGCGGAAGTGAATTGGCTTCAAACGCTGTTGGACATATGAACTCGTACCACCAAAATCGTATCTTAAAATTGTTCAAACAAAACAAGTATATTATGTTCCGAATGAAATTTTATTATTCATTTTAGTCATCAGTAGCTTACCAATGATTGATTTTCGTATAGCAATTATGAATATACAAACCATAGGAAAACAACAGAGGCAATCTTATGACTTCAAAAAAAGAAACAAGCCGAATAGATCTCCATTTATTATATATTTATCATTTTAATGTGGAGGATGCTATTATCATTTCAAAATTGTTACCTTAGTTAAGGTCTAATTAACGAACGTCTTTATTTCCCAGAGCATAGTGTTCGTAGACTATAAAGAAATCATTAAACCCTCATAGAACATGCGACAATTTCGATATAAACAAATCCTGGGCCGTTTTACCGAAGCTGTTCTAAGACACAAATTAAGTTAATCTGAGGTCTGTCTGATAATACACATCGAAGCTATCTAAATTGTCATTACCGGTGTCCTAAGCGTTAGCGTAAACATTTTTAAATGTAGTTTTTCAAATAAAAGTTCAATAAAAATGCGTCACATTCACAGCAACAATTTTACTGCACCAGATCCGCGTTTCGACAGTTAATGTCTCTTCGGTGTTGCTCGATGTCAAAATATTTGAAAATCCAAAGCTTATTAAAAAATGAAGAGTTGTTAAACCTAAAAGGACATAAGGTTTAGCCAAAGCCGGGCAAGGAATAAGGGCTTTTAATGAAGGAGATATATTCCTTATTTTAAAATAATTTCAAAAAAATAAGTAATTAATATAATATTAAATATTATAATAATAATTATCATGAAAAGGGAAATAAAGAATGCACATTGTAATTTTATATATATATAATTAATAGAACGTCTCTACTACCACTGGTCAATGCCACTGATGGTGGACGTTTCGTTTCGTCCCCCTCAGACCAACAGCCCTTCGTGTCGACATGAAATATCACTTGATATTTTCTGTAATTTTTCTGTTGATTGCATTTTGAATTGTCTGAACCACTAAGGTTCTTTTAGCCCAGACCTAGATGACCTTGTCAGTATTTGGCACAACTGTTCGGAATTTGTAGCTTTCAATGCTCTTTAACTTCATGTTTGATTTGGCCTTCCAACTATTTTGTTCGAAAGCTACCCATATATTGACGAACCATCCGCCAGGAGTAACAAATTGTAAGCCTGGTACTTTTAATTACCTTTTAGAATTGAACATATATCATCAGCACAGATACGTGTAACTATTTATTTTCCATTGAGTTGAATTCAAGTGTTAATACGTATCGTGCATTATAGATTGCAAATGCAAATCTTTTGCATCGTTCATATGAATTCGGGGTAATGCAACCATTTTATTACCGTAAAAAATATACACGTGTAAATAAGCAAGAATAGGAATCATAAATTAACTTTACAAATGCCGAGCTACAAAATCTCTAGGATGACAGGGGAAATCGTAAGTTGTTACGATATATCCTTGAGTTGAGACCATCATCAATTCATCGTAACACACCTAGTTCGGCGTCCTTAATTTAGGACAAACTCTGAGATTTATCCTAAGTTGAGACATATT